ATTAAGGGTCAGATAAATGAAGTTCTATCGTAAGTGACAGAGATGAATAATTGAAAAGATATAAGCTCAAGCATTACTATACAGCAATATTTCTGAAACTTTTTTCAGGTGGAAACCAAGAATATTTTGCAGACCACTTTCCTCCTCTTAGCCCTTTTGAAAGCAATTTTTTAGCATATGTTACATTTCAGTACTTTTTTTTTTCAAACAGAATTAGCTAAAATGCTTCAATTTTTTTTATTGGTATTAAATAAGTTAGATAATTTTTTTTTATTAGAACTGGATTCAGAAATGTACGTACTGTCTGTCTATGGTAAAAACAGCTCTCGCCAGTTTGTCTGCGGCTGTCTGTTGCCGTAGAAACAAGCTCTGACCCATTTTTTGTAGGAGTGTCTTGAAGATTTACTTCTCAGTTTGCCACCTTGGCGCATTTAAAAATAATTTGGCGATATTCACATTTTGTTTTAGTTTCAAGTAAAATGCTCGTTCGTTATCTGTGCGCCCAAAACCATATCATGCTGCCAACATTTCTTAAAAGTTAAATTGCTGTCAATCCATGTTTCATCGATGTAAACGATGTGGTGTCCACTTGCTCCGAGTTTCTCATTTCGCGTAAATAATTGTTCCTCCAAAATACAATGTGAGGTCTTTCAATAAGAATTTTTGTTTTGTTAATGCATTTCTTCTTGATACTTAACGCTTAATCTTTTTAATTCTATACTCCGATACTCCAGTAGCTTGCGATATTATCTTCAAAACTTGAGGAAGAGGAACTACTAAAGAGTTCGGAAGCTTCCGAAGCGCAAAATTCTGCGACATTGTACACGATTTGATGTACCCGAGACTTTAAAAGTTGACCTTTCTTAAACTGGAAGGGCATTTTAAAAAATTGGCGATTAACAAAGCACTACGAAAATCAAGCTAAATAGAAGCAAATTTGAACAAATACCAGTACAAAAGATATAATAACGAGAATAAAGATAGCTAATAGTAACAATATAAGGCTTAAGAAAAGATGCGTGCAGCTGGAATGAAACTGAGAAGACGAATGATAAACTCTTTTCCCTTCAGCCGACAGTCACCAAAAACAAAATAACAATAAAGCAACCCTTGGTTCGTCCCTATTTGAAATATACTAGCCCTGTTGCTATAGCGACCGCCACCCGCCAGACACCGTGGCGGGAGGTGTTCTTACCGTAGACAGACAGTATGTATGTGTGTACACACACATGCTTATGTACATTATGCACATACATTTCTTAATCTGGTCCGAATACCAAAAAAGTACCTTAAGTTAATAGAAGAAAATCTGACTCTAGTACACAAGGGTGCCCTTTGATTTGGTGCCAAATACCATGCTGGCACTCGTTTTCTGGTAATCCAGAACCAATTTCAATGTTATTTCAATCAATTTTTTTCCTTTCCCATGCACCAATGACTTTCTTAGGTTTAATCCAGAGCTGTGGAATCGGAGTCGAGCAGATTTAGGGGTAAAAGGAGTCGGAGATGGAGTCGCTAAAAATAGGTTGACTCCGACTCCAGTTTTTGTTGTACAGTTTGAATTTGAAATGAAATTAAAATGCATTGAAAAAAATTAATGACAAGCTTAGTTATTATTTTTATTTACGAACTGTATACATTAATAAATAGTTATTTTCTATTTTATTGACATACTAATAAATAAATATAAGGATGGATGTAATATTTGCAATTAAGCTGATTCATTTAGTTACAAATCTCACTGGTAAATTTAGGTAAGCAGCAATAGCAGCAAGAAGTCCTAAAATTGATGCCATTCTTAGGAAGCGAGCAAAAAAAGGAACAATTATTGATCAAGCACCGCGATAAGGAAGTACATATTTGATGATAAAGAGTTTTTAGAATTAAGAGTACATATTTGATGATAAAGAGTTTTTAGAATTAAGAACTTTTTTAGTAGATAATCCTAATGTTTCACTAACAGAAAGATTGTGGAATGATCTTGCAGAATTTGAAACTCTTCTTTCTACACTGTATATAGCCACAAAAAAGCTGCAATCTGAAGAATTGACAGGAGGCGAGAATGGGATGTTTGCTCTTTCTGAAATAGAGGGTTTATTGCAAAAGGAATCATTTCTTCAATAAAGAGAAGAGAAACTAGTTTGCTAGACAATGAGATCTTGCTGAGATCAATATATGTAGATCCGAAACACCGAATTTTCTTGGATGACAAACAAATTAAAAAGGCAAAGAAAGTCATCTACGAACTTTCATTAAGAATGAAATTATTCTCAGAACAATTGGAGAATTCGAATCAGGACAGTCAAACTGCAAACATTGCAATTGAGTGTCTATCATCCTCTTCTAGTGATGAATTAGATTTTAAGAAATATTTGGATAATATTGAAAAGGTTAAGGCAAAGCGAATGAAAATAAAGAACCAAGAGCCTTTAGATATAAAAATTTAAAAATACAAACAAGATTTCTACATGGCCTGTGAAGAAATAGAGAAATATGATTGCATTTGCAAGACACCTCTTTTAGAACTTATAAAAATCTATCCTGAAAAGTTAAAAGAAGTAGCCCTAACAGTAACAGCTCTTCCTCCTACTCATGTTACTGTGGAAAGACTATTCTCAGAAGCTTATCAAATCAGATCTAAGGGCCTCCAACAAAGAAGATCTTGCTGAAGCTATACTGTTCCTTAGAAATAACTAATGTCAGTTTTTCTATTTCATATAAATGCTAATTAATATAAATAATTTGCTATACCATAATTTTTTTTCCTGTAGCATCTATTACTTCTTTTACATTTAAAAAAAATAAGTTGTAACCCATACATATATGTTTACATACATATATATATATATATAAAAGAGTCGGAGTCATTAAAATTCCAGGAGTCGGACATTTTCCCTACCAAATCCACGACTGGTTTAATCTTGTTGGAACTTCTTAGTTCAGTGATCAAGGGCTACGTGATTTGTAACACATGTATTAATATACTACAAGTCACATATTTTGAATTCTCAATTATCGAAATTTTAATTGCTGTTAGCTGAGCTTGGTTTTCGTTAGCTGCCTGGTTCTAATTCATGGTTGTCCTGTCACTTCCACAAAGAAGTACGTCTGGTAAGATAAATACTTTCTTTTTTCCCATGATTTACAGTGAAACAGTACGAAAGCTATAAAAGACTGGTGTATAAATAAAGGTTTAACTGGTCCTTGATGAATGTCAAGTTTGTACAAAAGATATGTATTTGTTCGAGTATAAAGATCAATCGAATGGCTATGAGTGAAGTTGTCATCAAAACGGTGTCTGAAACTGGCACTCATATCAACACCATTGAGGGCATGTGGAGCCAGATTAAGTGTAAGTTTAAATTGCCTAAAATATCAAGAGCATCCGATTGTAAACTTTTACCAAATATTTATATAGGTTTTTAATTCAAGTTTACAGTTCTAACAATATTTATTTTATTAAAAAAATAAAATAAATGTTGGTGCTCATATTAATGAGACTTATTAGCTTGCTGATTCTTGCATAGCTGTTCTACCTTTGGATGTATGCTTTTAATCGGCAGTCATAGTACTTTAAATATCTCTGTTGTTGCTAAGACTAGAGTGGGAAGACTATAGACAGAATTAAAAATAATGAATTTCATAAAATGTCAATTCTGGGTTAAAAATCAATAGACAATTGCCATGTATAATTTCCAAACTCTGAGATTTTCAGCTATAGTATGTAATTTATGCAGTTAATTTGAATTTGAATTTTTGCCTTTCAGAAATTTAAGAGGACCACAGTTTGAGAAACACTGCTATATAATACAATTCCAACAAATAACAATCTCTAAGTGGAATAAAATAAGCTTAAACAAATAAAATTACTAGTCATTGCAAAAATATTTAAAACTACTGAATCTTCATTAAATGGTACATTTACCATTTTCTTTCAATACTCTTCTATTTTTTGGGATCAGATTCAGAAATGTATGTATATATGCACCTGTGTGTTTATGTATGTGCATATATTAATGTAATAAAACTGTTCTATTATTGAAATAAAACTGTGTTATTATTGTCATAAAGATGACTTGGTAGAGGAAAGTGCAACAGAGTGGCATTGGAGAGAACTGCATCATAATTTAAAGACTGCTGCGTAATTAGAAAGGTGACACTCGAACACACATAACAGTAAATTCCAAACATAATTTTATTCTTGAATAATTCACATTATCACTATGAGTGAACTATGCATCCCTCAATTTTCTACAGATCACATTTCTTAAAGAATGGACTAAATTTAGAGAAGTAAACTCTACGAGGCTAGCGACAATGCAATGCAGCGACACAGAGCAAGAGTAAAAATGGAAGAGAGAGAGCTGTGATGCAATTGACCTTTTATAAGAATTCCATTTTAGATCACACGGCAATTTAATGTACAGGTGTTGCGTTTTGATTTTATCAGTAAGTGCACATCGGAACTGCAGGGATATAAATTTATTCCTGTGTTATTTTTAGAATGAAGACAAGAGTTGAAGGGCTATTAATTTGTTATTTGAAAGCTAGATTTTATATTTTACATCTATGTATGCATAAACATGTGTACATACATACATATAGTATAACACTTAGATATGTACATTTTTGGGTCTGGTCCCGATAACAGAAGGGTACATTTCTTTCTAGCAAATTTTGCTGTTACTACATGATAGAATTCTTTTTAGAATGCATTAGTTTTGAATAATTATTATCTATTTAAGCTTTTACATTTGGCCTTCATCAACATATAAGAAAACTAACATTCACAGACTTTCTTTAGTTCAAACAATTATATTACAGAAAGTAACTAATTATTTAAAAAAAAAAATACTCTCTAAATACGAACAAATTATAACAGTTAAAATGAAATTCTACGCAAAAGATTGAAATTAAATTTAACGTACTCGGATGGGTAGAACGCAGAAGATAAATTTCAGAAAATATTACTAAGATCTGAACAACTGAACAATACGAACCTTCATTCCCGGTGAAGCAAAATAAACCTCACAAAATTTAAGAACAAGAACATAATCCCCGTCTCTATTAACCGGAATTTCATAACCGAAAGTCGCATGATGATATCTTTCGGTTTGATATAAGATCTGATCAGTTCTAGGGACTCTACTAATGATCAGTTGCTTTCCATAGTCAGATGCAGTGCCAATTCTCCCATGTAATGGATCCCTACGATAATGTATGCCATCAGAGTCAACGTGTGACTCGCCACCGGCATTAATTGCATATATTACTTCGCCTAAGGAAGTCACTAAATCACAGCGAAAATACAAAATAAATAATAGCGGTAATAGTTTTTTCAAAATATGTGACCGGTGAGTTGGCATTGCTAACCAAATAGAACTTTACGTGGTGTTTACATTCAGAAAACCTCAGTTTCGAAATTGCGGCGAATTTACCGTCAGCAATTCGATTTACAGTTATGGATAAGAAAAATTGTTTGGTAGGAAATTATTATTTGTTTTAAATGTAAAAAAGAAAAACGATACTTTTTAATACTTTTCACAATTTCCATAATGCATAATTAGGAAAAATTATTATTAAAATACGTACACCTCTTACAGTTAAAAAGTTTATAGTTTGTTTTCCTTCTGTCAATGTAATGCCAACTCAAAAGTGCAGGGTCCTAACGTAAGAACGACTGCGTTAAAATATTTATATATGTACACACTCTATTCGTGTACGTTAACTATTCTGATTAGGTTAATGTATGAATAAATTTAAAGCTTAAGAATCATTTAATTAAATTAAAAACGATCATTCTTTTTTTACTATAGTTTACTGCTCCTGTAAAATTTAGCAAATTAGTTGCATTTTGTTGTTAAATCGGGAAGTAACTCAAACTCTGCTTATAAAACCCAGTCGAGTATAAATTCCTCTATCTCTACCTTTGGGGCATTTAAAAAAACACTTTTGTGCTTGTAGGGATCTAGTCACATTCCAAATAAACAAGCATTGTTTTGGTCACAACATTTCGTGAAATGTTCTCATATATTTAAATTCTTTTTCAAAAATCGTGTGAAAATTAACCTTCCCAAAATAGACATAATTTTCTGTATTTAATAATCTCAGTTGAATTTTCGCTCTTGAAATAGTTAAACGGAGTTAGAGAGTCGGTAGGTGGAAGGTTGGAGTGTGGTAGTGAGTGCTCTTGACAAGGAATAGTTTTTCGTTAGGCGATAAGTTTATTTGTTTATATTTTCTACGGGTTTTCCAGTATTTCGAATGTAGTCTGTTTCCAGAAGAATCGTTAGGGATTATGCCTAACGAACTCAAGCGGAAAACAGATAGTGATATGGACAGTGGCAGCAACAAAGAGAGGAAAACAAATGGGAACTTTTATAGTGCAGACATAACCCCTATTGACAAGGTCAAATTAGCTCTTAAAAATGGCACAAAAGAGGTCAAAATTGTTCTGAAGGCAATTGAATCTGGTATCCCGATAGGTAAGTTGCTTAAAAAAGGTTCCATTTTAAACGAAATTACTAATAAAGAAGATAATATATACATCACGAGAGAAAAAAAATCATAATTTCCACGAAAAGAATCAAAACAATAGAAAACGTCTATAAAGTAAAATCCTTGGAAGGTGTAGGAGTAAAGGCCACTATAATTGAAGAAGATACGTATACAACTAAACATATAGTTAAAAATGTTGGACACACAACTTAGTTTAGAAGACATAGCAGCTGGCCTGGAAGAAAATGAGATTAAATTTTCATGTATTAATAAGATTTACAAAGCCAAGGTCGGAAGAAAAGGATGCCAATAATTTCTGATTAAGGAACTTGGTTCCTGTTATCGGTCTGATATCAAAATAGGTCGAATAAATTTTGCGGTAAGCAAATATATTGAAAATACCATAATATGCTACAAGTGCTGTAATATAGGCCACAAGTCGAAACTCTGCAAAAGCAAAGCAAGATGTGCGAACTGTGGTAAAAATGACTGCAACGACCCATGTAAAAACAACACCAGTTGTTTTAGATGTGGAGGTGAGCATAATGCTCTAGACAAATCTTGCCCAAAAATAAATATCAAAAAAGGGGAAGCGAACGGACAGAAGCGTGAATCTTCATCGAAAAAACTTATCCAGAATTCCAGTTATTGTTCCTGGGCAGAAGTTATCCAGAAAGAGGAAGAACAAAACTCTACTAACACCAATACAAATAAATATACTAAAGGACGTCGGTATCGGAGAAACCAGGGGAAAATGTTTAAGTAAGATAGTCGCAAGATTAGAAAAATCTCGAAAGGAAAATTGATTCTCTTTATGTAGATAATTTAAATCTTAAGGAAGTTAATAACAAACTTAAAACAGAAAATACAAAACTTAGAAGCCTGTATGAAAACTCCCTAAAACAAATCCAAAAATACAAGGAGGATCTTGAAAAGACCTGCCTTGCATATGAAAATCTTCAAACAGAACATCTAAATTTGAACACTATTCAGGAGGTTACTCCTCTGATATCTTGGAATAATGGGCCAGACACGCTTCAAGAAGAGGAAATTCCTCAAATTGATGATGATACTTTCTAATTTCATGTGCTTTATCTTAAGTTGGAATTGTCGAAGCTTCGAGGCGAACTTGAGTTTCTTGTCTTCTTTTGTTTCTTGGTTAAAACCTTCAGTTGTGTGTCTCCAGGAGACCTGGAGTCGGAACCCTAGGGTTCCTTTCCTCTCTGGATATAACAGTTTTTTTAAAAGAAACAATTTTCCCTAGTAAAGGCGGTGGCCTTGCCATTTTTGTGTTAAAAAATTTACCTGTTTCCAAACTTCCAGATACTGGAATTAAATCTGACATGGAAGTACTAAGTATCAAAGTGCAAGCTTACGGTAAATCATTTACTATAGTAAATTGCTATAGGCCTTCCGGAAGTTTTAAACCAGAAGACTCAATGGTCTTGGATTCCTTTAAGGATCTTTTTACGATTTTGGTTGGCGATTTTAACGCTCGCCATAGAAATTTTGGAGATAGTATTAAATCGCCCAGCGGTCAAAAGTTCATGAATTGGCTAATTGACTCTAATATGATCATTCTAAATAATAAGAAACCTACTCATATTTATCGTGGCCAAGAAGGAGGAATCCTCGACCTTTGCATGGCAAATGTCAATATCGCGATGATACGGGTCAAAGTGATCATTTCCCTGTGTATCTTAAGTTTAATCAAAGTTTTAAGAAGAGACCGGGGAAAACTAAAAGCTATACAAATTGGCGAGATGTCAGTATATCTCTGTCACGTTTGCCTGTGAGCCACGCTGGTAATATGGAGGATAAAGTGAACGCTTATACCACTGTAATTAACAGTACCATCAAGACACACTCCAGAGAAATCACCTACAAGGTCGAGCCAAAAAACCCATGGTTCAGTTTGGAGTGCGCCAAATTCAAACATCTTAGAGATAAGTTGAAAAGAAGGGCACTAAGATCACTTAATCCTAGCGACTGGGTGGAGTATAAGGGTGCAAACGCTAAATACAAAAGAGAGCTAATAAAAGCAAAACGAAAGTACTGGGCAAAGATTTCCTATGAAGCTTATTCTTGCAAGCAAGTCTTTAGAAATGTAAAAAACCTTAAAAAATATCTATTGGTCTCTCCCTTGGAAGCTAATTTCGTGATCACTCACTCAAACGCAGATGTATTAGACAAGGCTGCCCAGGCGGATATTTTCGTGGAATATTACAGCGCCAATGACAATACTAACCAGCCGGTTCCTATCGACCTTCCTTTGGCTAATATTGAAGCCAATTTTCCGCCAAAAAGAATTAAATTGAACGTCAACCTAAAGAGTAAGAAAAAAAACTCCTCCCCTGGGTGACCTGATTGGAATTAACTTACAAGAGTCTGAGGGATCTATCTTATCAACAGAAAAGCTCATGTCTAAGGGCCTTCCACAAGGAGCCATTTTATCGCCTTTCCTCTACAATTGCTTTATGTTGGATCTTTGTAAACTGAATGATAGGAGCACCAAGCTTTTTCATTTACGCTGATGATATCTACGTACATGTTTCTGTTAGGAAGGACAACCGGTATTCCAGCTTACAAGACACTCTCAAAAAGATCATTAGCTGGTCTGCTGAAAATAAGGTTGCTTTCTCCTTTGAGAAATCAACACTAATTGACTTTTCAAGAGGAAGAAAGAAATACTCTTCCCCATCAGAATAGGTAATCTCAGTATTGGATGGAAAAAAGAGCATAAAATACTTGGCGTTATTTTCGAACACAATCTCAGTTGGCGTGCACACGAAGCTTATCTAGTTAAAAGATTAAATAACACTTTAAACTTGATCAAAATCCTCTCCCACCCAACTCAAGGAATGAGAACAAAAAACTTACTAAAATCATCCAGCAAATCATGATTCCCCAACTCATATACGGATGTGAAATCAGATGGGGAGAAATATCTATCTCCTCCCAAAATAAGTACGATATTACATCAATAAAGCGATTAGAAAAGCCTTATGGGTAAGTCATTTGGCTCCCAACGACGTAATTAGGAGAATTGCAGCAATTCCGCATTACAATAAGATAAAAAAATGGCAAAGAATATTATCTGTCATAAATAAAAAATTTCAGGGAGCCGATTATTTTTTCCCCGCCACTAGAGGCGGAAGGTTTAAGAAAGAAAGAAAGGATTTAAGAGCTGATCTTGACAGCTATGAATCTAAATGGATTTTAGATAAGAACGTTGTCCGGCAAAAGAAACGGATTCCGCCTTGGATAGACTTTAGGAAATTGTGTAACATCGATTTAAAGAATCTCCACGATTTTGTCACTGATTACGCTCCTTTTATTAAAAATTTGACTGCAGGTGTTAAAGCAGAAAACGTATGGGGCTCAGACGGTTCCAAAAATTTGGACGGAACTGGTTTTGGAATAACCAATCTAAAAAATACCGTTAACAGAGCCATCAAGATTGAAAGAAATGCTTCTATATACACCGCGGAAGTTTCAGCAATTTGGTACATTTTGAAATATCTAGCTAACCTTTCCGAAGCGACGATAATTTTCACTGACAGTCTTGTTGCGGCAGTAGAAGCTATTGCCTCCTTCGAAGATTCAAATAACAACATAATTGAGAATATTCGATATGAAATTTACAAAATGCCAAATAGTAAGATAATAATTTGTTGGATATCCGGTCACAAAGGCATTGAGATCAACGAAAGGGCAGATTTTTTTGGCTAAACAGAAGGTAAATTCACGCAATACTCCAATCCTCCCAATATATACATGGCAGGATATCAAAAAAGAAATTAGGGAAGACAGGGAGAGGGAAATTGAGACCACCTGGCAGAACACGAAGTATTATTGTTATTTTAAAAATGTTTTAAATACCAAACACTTGAATATTAATTGGCCCGACTCAAGGAAAATGGAAAGTAAAATCAACAAAATCCTCACTCGAAGTATCCTCACGAACTACCTTAAATTCAAGTTAAAACTTTCAAGTACTCCTTTATGCATAAATTGCAAAGTACGAGATGATTTTGAGCACAGACTGAATGAGTGTAAAAAATACATTCATCTAAGGAACTATATCGCCAAATACTGCGATAAAGAAAACATTCAATACATCCTTCCTGCAGAATTAGTTAACAATTTCAATCTAAGAATTCCGAAGTTGGGTCGTTTACTCGCCAACTTCTTCTAACTTTCCTGTGCCTCACGGACTGGTTTTACGGCGATCGCCAGAATACGAAAGTAAAATTGTTTTTTTTTTTTTAAAAAAAAAAAAAAAAAAGTATTAAAATTCCAATCACCTGATGTTAAATTGGCCCGACTCAAGAAAAATGAAAAGTAAAATTTAACAAATTCCTCACTCGAAGTCTCCTCACGTACTACCTTAAATTTAAGTTAATACTTTCAAGAAATCCTTTTGCGCAAATGGCTATGTACGAGAAAATTTTGAGCACAGACTGAATGAGTAGTTAAAAATTCCATTCTAAGAACTCCGAAGTAGCGTTGTTTACTCGCCAACTTCTAACTTACTGCGCCTCACGGACTGGAGGAAACGGCGTTCGCCAAAGTCCCCACCTCCTTTCTTCTTGCTCAAAAGCAAGATTGCTACAGATTGCTACAGAAATAGTTAAACGCATTCTCAACGTCATCATGTAAACCTCAATAACCAATCAAAAGGTATTAATTTTGTTTCATTCGTTTTGTGTCTATGTCATTTTTGAATTTATGCATGTACAGTTTACGCTAAATGTAATAATGAATATTAAATAAGTATATCGTTTAGGAAAAGCATATCCATTTATATAATATTATGCAATTTAGTACGTTGTTGTAGACATTTGTTGCCGGTGTACATGTTGCAGACGTTAAAATCGAATATCCCTTTGTAAGTAATTAAAAGTCTTTCTTTTTCAGTTTTTGTTTTTGAGTATTATTAAGGTGCATTAAATTTTCGAACAGTGTTGTACATCTGTATCCTGTTATAGCAATGTAGAATTATTTTTTAGGTACAACTAAAATTATTATATGCTTAATTAATAGACTGAAGACATTTCGTGCTTGTGTTATTAAATGTGTATATATTTATCTATTATTTGGAAGTATTTTTCCGATAATAAAAGTCTTAAAGTTGTTTATATATATATATATATAATCAGGTTTTTTAAATATCAATCTGACTGCGTGCTGAAAAAAAGTTTGGAAATCTATGAGTTATGTTGAATTTTATTATTTCCAATGACAACGCTTACCCCCCCCCGCCGATTTTAATTGTAGAAATGGTTTTATAATTGTTATTAAATCATTTTTCCCCTGTTTGATTGAAATTGCTGAGATTAATTTTTAATTCAGTTTTGAAAGATGAGTGAGCATTAAGTTAGGAAGTTCATTTCAATGCATGTTTATACAAATATGCACTGTATTTTGTATCAGTATATTATAATTTGTATTTTGATTAATGGTTAGGAAATGAATCAACTGAAATTTAAAAACTAAAAAAAAGCGGTTGGGGGAATTTATTACTGAGAGACATTTCATTTGTATCATGTTTGCCAGTGCATAAATAAAAGCAGCAAATCTTTCATTGCTTTTAATATTTTGAAGGCAGATGTTAATAAAACACCAAACTATAACTGCATCTTTTTAATCCATTAAATTTTTTTTCTTTTCAAGTACAAAGCATAAATTTTATTACCTAGTAATAAGTTTAGTAATTGAGTTCTATTTGGGGAAACCGGGAAGAATTTTAATATTTGAATATTTGGTTGGTGTGGAGGGGAGAGATTTTTAAGTTTGGCTGACGTTTTATTTTTTTAATATGAGACAGATCTTTAAGTTATAAGTATTTTCATTTTAGATAATATTGTAAACTTTTAGTAGTAAAAATCTTTATGAAAATCGGTCTTCTAAATCTTAAATAAATTGTCTTGTGCTGACCAAAAAAAAAAAAAAAAAAAGAAAGAAAGAATCCACTTTCTTCACTCTCTCTCTTTGCATAAATTCTTTATAGTAATAAGAACAAATCCTGATTGAAAATATATTGCTAAGCAAACCAAAAACATTTTGCTGTTTTTGATGTCCCATTTGATAAAGTGATGTAAGAGTAAAAACAAAGTAACATACATGCTTGAAAAAATGATGGGGGGGGGGGTTCAAGTAGCCATTGATGTGCACCAATACAGGCACTTTGCACATACACAGTAGTCACTGCTCATCCAGTGTCAAAACAAAATGGAGGTATCAAATCAGCTCATTTATAGTTGTTTACTGTATAACTTTTAAGCTGATATACTAGCAGCTATATTAGTCATCGAATATATGTGTTTGGAGAGGATGCCATGAACAAACATTCAGCCAGGCACTAGTTCCAGAATTTCAGATTGGGAGATCTGAGCTTTTGTGGTGAACTTGGTAGTGGGCAACCACATGTGTTAATGCTGATATGATGAAGGCAGCCATAGAGGATAACAACAGTCACATAGTAGTGAACTTAGTGGACATGTCTAGGTTTTCCAGAAAGTAGAGTTCACAAGTATTACATGGGGAAGGTGTACAAGTTGAACAAACAGATACCCCACATATTATCAACAGCTAACAAGGAACAACAAATTACAGCTGGTTTGCCATGACTGCCTCAGCATCACAGCATACCCATATTTGGTCAAGTGCTAATAAGTGATGAAACATAGGTCCAGTATGACACTCTCAAGCATACCAAACATTGGTCTGTCACTCCAGACCCAGTACACATCAAGATTAACCCTGCATTTTTGCAAAATTATGCTACGTGTCTGATATGCTAATGGCCAAGTGGTGCATTGTAATCTACCACCAAAACGCACTATCATTGTAGACCTGTACTTGCAGCAGTTGTAATAGGTTCAACTTGCATTGCAGCGGGAACCAGCACTGTTTAATCAGAAGTATGTGCTGTACCTCCAGGACAATGCAAGGATACGTGACAAGGACAATGAGGAATACTATACTCTTAGCTAAGAGACACTTTGCCATGTGCTGTACTCACCAGACTAGCACCCACCGATTACCACCTGTTCCATTCCCTGGACAACAACCTCAATGAGAAATCCTTTGACGATAAGACAGACCTGTGACATGCAAAGGGTGCTGGATGATACTGAAGATTATTTCATGATTTAGTGCTGAGAACCATGAACTTTATTTCTTATGATCATGAACGGCAAGAACTTTTTGGTAGCCTTGTAAATAAAATATAAATAACTGAAGCTCATACATGGAAAGTGCGTGAGTGTTAAAAAAATCAATGTATCAATTTGCATATTTTTTTTTGTTTATTTTAATTCTGATAATTAGATAATATGGAGATTAGGGGAAAAGCATAGTATATTTCTGAAAAATCACAAAATACTTTTACATTGCTAGTATTTTGGGATGACCACTACATTGCTGTAGTCTACATATTTTGATTACTTATCTAAAACATTTTGGCGACGAATTTTATATCACTGCATATTTTTAGGTGAGGAAATTCATATATATATTTATGACGCACTGGGGAAACTGGGTAGCACTAAGGTGCCTGGATCATGGACCCTACCCCTTGTAGAACAGATATGTTATTTTGAATACTGTCATGAGTAACTAGTATATGTTTAAATTATATATGCATTTTTTAAAGTTATAAGAATAGATATAAGATAAGAGATAAATTAAAAGGTAAATTTCAAAAAAAGACGAAAGTGTGCATCAAGTTTCAGTAGGCCTGAAGTGCTATCTGGGAAAGCTGAGAAAGGAGGAATGAGCTGGCTATAGCCTGATGTAGAAAAAACGTTCATAACATGCATATAAATAATAGGCTAAGTAACGGAGTCTCTTGGTGCACTAGTAATAATTAAACCTTAAATCTACAACACAATATTAAGAGGTACATAACAGATTAAATAAGTTATACAATATGGGTACTAAATATGGCCATATATCATATATATCATATAACATATCAATAGGGCGCTTCCTTCTTATGAAAAGAAGGAAAGGAGTTTAGGCAAAATTGCCCATTACTCTTCCGCCATTTGATCATTTAAATCAAGGGATTTAAATGGTAACTCCCGTAAAAGGTAAATAAAAAATAGATAAGATCTCAAACTGACACCAAATCTATAGTATCAGCAAAAGATCCCATCTCTAAGTTCAAGGTGTCGGCTGGATCGTAAAAACTTGCCTATTGGATGGAAAACCGATTCAATCCCTCCCAAACCACCAAACGCAAATTCTTGACCAAACAAGAGTGCGATGGAGAGTCAAATAAATAAATAAATAAATAAGGAGGGCAGAGGTGCATTCTCAAGCCAAATGGCCAGGTAGTGTATAAAGATTTGATATCAATATATTCCAAAACACAGCTATGAGAGGGAAATCCCTGCATAGTTTCTTTTCAAAAAAAAAAAAAAAAAAAAAGAACTCGTAGGGCGTTTCAATGCTTTTCTTGTGGTTCCATATTCACCTTACCTGTAGGTGTTTAGTATACATCAGAAACCCTATTATGCCAGAGAGCCCTTTGTATAAAAGGGCTTGATCAAAGGTAATATAGGGAAACCCAAGGAATTTGTTTCTAGGGACAGAGAACACCGGACATCGTCCCAGAAAGTGAAAAGGTGTTTCCTCTTCTTCTCCACAAGCTGGGCAGAGAGGAGATTCGACAAGACCACATTTGTGGAGATGCTTAGCTAGATAAGCATGTCCAGTAACAATTTGAATTACCTGGCGTAAGTTAGTTCTACTGAGGTGTATGAGTTTACCTGAAAAGTTAAGTGTACTGAGCACCAATTTAGAATGAGCACAGTCTGGAAGTTTAGACCATATATCATCATGTTTGTTCTTTATCCAGCTTCTTACTTCTTTTTTAACCGTTTGATATGAAACTGGGTAAAATGGTTCTGGGCCAGACATGGGTAGTTGCGAAGCATCTTTAGCTACTTTATCAGCTAGTTCATTTCCAGCAAAATCACAATGACCTGGGACCCAGACTAAACTAATGGTATTATGGGCCTGAGCCAGAGAATTGAGATCTTGAGTACAGTTCAAAACACAGTTTTGTAACTTGACACGATTAGCCAGGGCAAGGATGGCTGATTGGCTGTCAGAGAGAATATATATATACTTATCAACTGTATTTTTAGCTAAGAGCTCCCTGGCGACCATATTGATCGCCAGAACCTCGGCTTGGAAAACAGTTGTAAATTTACCAAGGTATAGATGAAATCTAATGAAATCTTCTTCAGATCCCTTGGTTCCTTATAAATAGCTCCAGCTCCAGTGAAGTTGGATTTTGATCCATCTGTGTAACATTCAATTGAGCCTGTTGGAATTAGGTCAATTAGAGATTCTATCTCATTCCTTTTTGGTATATGAGTTAGAGAATAGTTTATCTGGAAACTATTGTTTTAGTAATTGCATCTTTGGGCATATAGATTATAGGGATCTCATTGCCCAAGTCCAGACATATGTCAATGTGGCTTTTCAGGTGGCTTTTATGACCAAAACCTGTCCTTTGGCACCATGTGCCATTTTTATTCAATCTATACATGGCTTTAATTGCTTCTCTCCGCTCAAGAATAATTTCAAGGGTGGAATTTGCAGTAAAAATTCTAATGCAGCAGTAGGGGTACTATTTAAAGCCCCACTAATGCTTAGGCAAGCAA